CGTCACTAAACACCAAGAAACACCAACATGACGTTATTTTAGAAACTGGATGAAAGGTGACCGACCTTCAACTTCCCCCACTGGGACGGAAATATGTTTAAGCTCGAAAGAACATCAGTTTAAAGCTAAACAAGGGAACCAATGACGTTTAACACACTTTGAAATAAGCAGAAGTTCAACCATCTTTTAAAAAGTGCTTGGAAACTGATGCCTAATTATTCTAGGTTTGAGCAAAGTAACCGTATAGATTCTCAAGTGTGTAAGTCTGTCATTATGTCTGCCATTTTCTCTTCTGTTACTTTGCTGAAATAACATTTAAAAAAACAGTTTCTAAGCATTTTTTGAGTTGGTTAAACCGCATTCTTGTTTGCTTAGTAGTGCAATAGTGATGTTACGTTCGAGTCGTACTTGGTTCGCCGTTCTTTTTATGGTTGGTTCACTGCCTGCCATAAATCCACTCGCCTTTACGGGAACTTGCTTTCCTGAATGCACGTTAGCCGTAGATGATGGCATAACGTAACGCGTCCTGCTTGAGTAGTAGTTTGGCTGAGAGATGCAGCAAGTTCTAAATGTTTCTGTGAGTAAAAGTAGATTTCTGGCAATACAGTCAATCATTATCCTGGTGATTGTTTCGCAGATAAACCTAGTAACCCCGCCCCCTTACAAAAACCGACTCTTTTAAACGGCTCTCGGAAAGGAACGGAGCCATAAGATCCGGCTCCCTTCAAAGAGCCGTCATTCCCATCACTAATGCGGCTTTCACACCAGCGCTTTTCCCTTTCTAGCTCCTAGCGAGAGCTTTTCTGGTTCAGCTCCGGTTTCCCTTTTCAGCTCCCGCTCTGTTCACACCGCCCAGAGCTGCCGAGAGATTTTCTCCCACAACAACAACGGGCCAGGGACTGCGTCGGGTCGACGATCGTGTTGCTTTTAATCATACGAAGCCAGATTAAATTAAATAGGCGTCATTTATCCTGGGGACGCTAGGGACATGTCCCCAGGGGGCGGTTCTAGGGGGGGCCAACAGGGGCCCGTGCCCCCGTAACACTGTCCCCCACCACTTTGCATCAGGATAATTTGTTAATATGTTCTGAAAATAGCGCGTGTACACTTTGAGAAAAGAAATATTATAAGCATAAATATGGGTCGATGTACGTATTGTTTGAGGGGGCTCTTAATGCAGGAGTGGTTTTTCAAATTTGAAAAAGTGTCCTATTCATAAAGAGTGACGCACACAGCTGGGAAACCAGGGGACACTAAAGAGTGACGCACACAGCTGGGAAACCAGGGGACACTAAAGAGTGACGCACACAGCTGGGAAACCAGGGGACACTAAAGAGTGACGCACACAGCTGGGAAACCAGGGGACACTAAAGAGTGACGCACACAGCTGGGAAACCAGGGGACACTAAAGAGTGACGCACACAGCTGGGAGACCAGGGGACACTAAAGAGTGACGCACATAGCTGGGAGACCAGGGGACACTAAAAAGTGACGCACACAGCTGGGAGACCAGGGGACACTAAAGAGTGACGCACACAGCTGGGAGACCAGGGGATACTAAAAAGTGACGCACACAGCTGGGAGACCAGGGGACACTAAAGAGTGACGCACACAGCTGGGAAACCGGGGGACATTAAAAAGTGACGCACACAGCTGGGAAACCAGGGGACACTAAAAAGTGACACACACAGCTGGGAGACCAGGGGACACTAAAGAGTGACGCACACAGCTGGGAAACCAGGGGACATTAAAAAGTGACGCACACAGCTGGGAAACCAGGGGACACTAAAAAGTGACACACACAGCTGGGAGACCAGGGGACACTAAAAAGTGACGCACACAGCTGGGAGACCAGGGGACACTAAAGAGTGACACACACAGCTGGGAGACAAGGGGACATTAAAAAGTGACACACACAGCTGGGAGACCAGGGGACACTAAAAAGTGACACACACAGCTGGGAGACAAGGGGACATTAAAAAGTGACACACACAGCTGGGAGACCAGGGGACACTAAAGAGTGACACACACAGCTGGGAGACCAGGGGACACTAAAAAGTGACACACACAGCTGGGAGACCAGGGGACACTAAAGAGTGACACACACAGCTGGGAGACCAGGGGACATTAAAAAGTGACACACACAGCTGGGAGACCAGGGGACACTAAAAAGTGACACACACAGCTGGGAGACCAGGGGACACTAAAGAGTGACACACACAGCTGGGAGACCAGGGGACACTAAAAAGTGACACACACAGCTGGGAGACAAGGGGACACTAAAAAGTGACGGGGAGACCAGGGGACACTAAAGAGTGACGCACACAGCTGGGACAGAGCGCTTGGTGACGTTCAGGATAATAAAGCTGAACAACTGTCTCTGTGTCAGAGTTAGTCGTCTCATAACTGTCAGTGTTTGTCAGGATATCTGAAATGACTAGGTTAGCTACGTTAGCTAATTGAATATAAATGTAAAATGTACAGTGCGAGTTTAAGTCCAGTTAAAGTTGAAGAAGGGGCTCTGCAGAGAAATCTCTCGTCAGGTGAGGCTCGCTCCAGCTCAGGAATGCATCCCCCCCCCCCAACAATCCCCCAAGTCCTCACCCTGCCATTGTGAGAGGGAGGAATGCCTTTCAGAAAGTGGCGCCTTTCACACTGAGGGATGTCGGGTGTCGCCCCTTTTCTCCCTCAAAGCTGAAGGAGGAGACGTGTTTGCAGCGCGAGGACAGAGCAGACAAGTGTCTCCTTAATCAAATATGTTTACATTTCTTGCCTGAAAACTACAATATTCAGTTGGACTGGTTTCTCTTTCTATCTCTAATTGAATCAAAGATTTATAATATTAATATTTTCATTTTGTGTAGAAGATAGCATTCTCATTTTTGTAACATTGTTTTTGTATTATTTTGATCATTTTATTTTAGTTCAATTTTTATTATATTTGTTTTGTATTTAATTTGAATTTGTATGTTATTTTTATTTATTTTCAGTTTGTTCTTTAATGTAATTTTACTTAAATGTTATTGTTTCTGGTGTGTGAAGCACTTTGAGTCACTTTTCTTTGTATGTAAAATGCTACATGAATAAAGTTGGTTTGATAATGAACAAAGTCATCTGGATATATTTCAGTGTGGATTGAAGGATGCTCCGCAGCTTGAACAGTCAGCTATTTAACAGCAAAACTGATCTTTATTGTATTTCTTCTCACACTTGAAGAAGATGATTTAAATATTTTGATGAAGAGGTTTGAAGGGCTTCAGAGAGTCTGATGAAGAGTGTGCTTTACTCTGGAGAGGAAGACAGAAACGAGCAAATTACAGCCGAGGCTCGTCAGATAATGAACACCAGATGAATTTAGATGAAGTTCCTTTACGTAAGTGCATTTCTCCCTCTTCCATCAAAGCCTTACAAGATGCTTGTTATGATAATAAAAGATAAAAGAAGTGATGCTTTGGTAACACTTTAGATTAAGGTACACATATTCACCGTCATCTAGTTGTTCATTTACACATTAGCGTCAAACTACTAGCTTATTAGTTATGAACAAGACTTCACTTTAAAATAGGGAACTTATTCTGAGTTAGAAAAACCTCATTTTTACACAATTAACACTTGTAGTTTCATGTCCTGTTACATAAGAATAGACCATATTTGTTAGGTGTTATGAGAGTTATTAGGCCCATATTGAGCACATTAAAGGTCACCTATCATGCTATTTTTAGGCAATAGCGTAGGTCTCAAGGACTGGCTTATCTGAAGCCAGTTGAGTAGTATTAGTAGCACATGTTTTGGCTCTATGCAACCTGATGTACTTGTACAGTATGATTCTGTTTTCTTTAAGTTTGTATCTTATTGGTCGAATGCACTTATTTTATGCCGCTTTGGATAAAAGCGTCAGCTAAATGCAATGTAATGTAATGTCTAAGATATATAAAAAACATGTCTATGAAGTGTTTTGCTCAAAATACCAAACAGATCACCCATTCTAGCCATGCCTCATATCCCTCTATTTCACTTCCTGTTTCAAAAGTGCTGATTTGGGTATAAAGCTTTTTTTTTTATAAAAAAGGAGGGGTCTGAGCTCATGCGGGACCCGGCAGCTACTGTCTAAACTAAATACTGCCGTGATGAAACGCCATATCATGGATTATCAAGGATTCTCTCTGAAACAGTATGGAGCTCAAAGGCTTTCTCTCTTGCCGGTTATACCACAAGGTGAGTTCCTTTTTATTTCCTGCTTCTTCACACACATGCTCTCCAGTACAGGTTAGCTCTGAGTGTTAGCCATGCTAATGTAAACACCGACCATATTACGTCCAAAACAATCGGGCATTGTTTCTGATAGCAACGTTTCTGATAGGGCCGTGGGTCCACATTTCAGATATTACGTCATATCGGACGCAAATCTGGATCAGCTCCGTTGTAGCCCGTTTTTAGAGATTTGGGTACGGAGGAAAAGAGAGAGGGTTTTATTTTCTGACGCTGCGTGAGTTCCCCGACACACCGGGGACACATATATAAAAGACATCAAAAAGTGCATTTTGCATTATAGGTCCCCTTTAAAACCAAAGCTCATGCACAACAACGTCCTTACTTACAATAAATAAGCACTAATTAGAGGGTTATTGAGGACAAACTCTTAACTAATGGCCTAGTACTAGTGTAGAATATGGTCATGTAGAATAAGGCATTAATACGTGTTTTATACTGACTAATAAAGAGCCAATATACTGCTAATATGCATGTTAATTAACAACTAGTTGATGTGTACCTTAAAAAGTGTTACAGATGATTTTATTAAACCTTTACTTTGATTTCTGTTTATTACTTCTTCTTTTTCTCTATCCCACATGGCAGGGTGTGGCGGGGGTTTTTTTTACGGCTGGAAAAAAAGGGGGTGAAGCTTAACTCAGGTGCTCGAATCTGATTGGTCGACGCAGGCTTCTAAAACACTAGTACCTGAATCAGGTAGAGAAAAAAGCCAGAGAGGAGACAGGACACCGAGGCGTCAGACCTCTGAAGACGCCTGCAAGCTTTTTGTCTTTAGATTCACTTTTTATTCACAGGGGAACTAAAGCAGAAACTTAGGTGAGTAATGCATTTAAAAGCGTGGTGAGACAGAGCAGATTTGTCTACTTTACCTGGAGTTAATTTATAAAAAATGACCTGGAGGAATTGCATGCTTTGAGGCAGCGTTTGTGTCAGGATTCAGCAGATTTTTGGGGCGTAGAAGTTAGTGAAAAAGTGTGCATGAAAGAGGAAGAAGTGTGACTATCAGAGAGCTTCAGGTGTGTGTTGTGTTCCCCAGGAGCAGGACTCTGAGGCGGGGAGATAGTAGGTGTCTGGTGGCGGTGTTTTTTTTTGGGGGGGGGGGGGGGGGATGCATTTTCTAAGCAAACTCAGCTCAGGCCTGTGATAACGCGCCAGGATTTCAGCCTGAAGCCACAGAGCACGTTAAGACTTGAAGTCAAGAAAAAAGGGAGAGGCCGAAATCCAACTCCTGCAAAACTCCCTCCAACTCACAGGGCACAACATGTGTCTGATTCATACGTTTGCATAATCCTGTGCAGATTGTTTATTGCTAAATTGAGGCCATGTGTGCAGGTATGAGAGGGTGGGACTGATGTTGTGTTTATAATATACGTGTTTTCACTACATTATCTACACTTTCTCCAGTTTTGTTTGCGAAAAAGTCAATAAATAAAACAGAATCTTCACTTTTCTCCTTCATTCTCAGACACTTTTCTCCCATGTGGCCTTGGTCTCGTTTAGACTTGAAGTCAAGAAAAAAGGGAGAGGCCGACATCCAACTCCTGCAAAAACTCCCTCTAACTCACAGGTTTTCCTCCTAAATCCCACAGGGTCTTCCTGAAGAAGCACATGTTTCTGATGAATGCTTAGAAAATATCACACGACATATGTCTGATTTATACGTTTGCATAAATTGTTTCTGATTTCATTGCCAAATTGAGGCCATGTCTGCAGGTATGGGAGGCTGGGACTGATTTAATGAGATTATTTGTTCATATTAACCGTGTTTTCTTTACATATTCTACACGTCGACTCTGTATTTTCTCCAGTTTTGTTTGAAAAAAGTCAATAAAGAAAGCAGAATCTTCACTTTTCAGGGGTTTGTTTATTTCCTTGTATTCCCAGACACTTTTTTCTGCAAGACTATCCCATGTGTTCTATCCTTCATTCCACCGGAGTCTGTATCTGCATCCAACCAGATTTCAGTGGTGTGAAGTGTAAGAGACATGGGGGACACTGCTGCACAAACAACTCTCACACAACCAGAAGGCATTTCAAAAGTCGAGGAAGTAAAAGACATTTGTTACATTTTGCATGTTGGAAATTGCTCGTATATTTGCTGCAATGTGTATTCTCATCAATACTGTACTGAGCATCTCTCTAATATGAATAAATATCCCTGACCTCGTGCCCAGTTTCTTTTTTCTTCACCACCCATTCCTCCGCCCACACTCGACTTTCTGTGCCGCTCAGCCCCGGAGCTTGATTATTATTATTTTTTCATTAGCAAACACTGAGAATGTGAGCCTCAGCCCACACAAACAACCTTTACTGTTTGGCAAATGAAGCTTAATAACAATTGAAAACATGCCCTCACTGTAGCCCACACAGTAATGTCATTAACCATGTTTTCTGTCTGCATCTCAAGCAGAACATGTTCTCCATAAAGTGCAGAGAGGAAGACAATACAAGTGTTTTCTGTTTTAAACTTTACATTTATGCTCCGTATACTCGCTACGGATTCTATAGGCTTTGTTGCTAGCTGCAGTTAATCCGGCGTGGATGAAGTTCAACAGCATTTTAAATTAAATAAAAACAGAGCGTTGCATGTGGAGATTTGTGAACAATGAATCTCTTTGGAGACATTTTAAAATGTATATAGTCTAAATAAGCAGTTGTTGGGTTTTAATGTGATTTTGTTATAATTTATGGAACTTTTAAAGACTAGAAATACTTTATGAATACATTTTTTTTTAACAGAAAGTCAAACTTCCACATCTTTTCTGGTGATTCTCAGAATAAAATACACTTAATTTCCTGATAAAGTGGAAAAAGCTAACAGATCCTACTAATAAGCACTAATACTGCACTGTATAAATACTCCATTACAAATAAAAATACTCCATTACAAATAAAAATACTGCATTACAAATAAAAATACTCCATTACAAATAAAAATACTGCATTACAAATAAAAATACTGCATAAAGAATTGTACTTGAGTATAAGTCTTAGGAGTAAAGTAAACTATTGCAAAAATACATCTAAATGATAATAATAAATGCTACTGTGAGATGTCTTTAAAGAGTCCTCTCCTGCTGATGTTCAGGTGTATATCAGTATGTAGTGTCTCTACTTTAAAGAGTCCTCTCCTGCTGATGTTCAGGTGTATATCAGTATGTAGTGTCTCTACTTTAAAGAGTCCTCTCCTGCTGATGTTCAGGTGTATATCAGTATGTAGTGTCTCTACTTTAAAGAGTCCTCTCCTGCTGATGTTCAGGTGTATATCAGTATGTAGTGTCTCTACTTTAAAGAGTCCTCTCCTTCTGATATTCAGGTGTATATCAGTATGTAGTGTCTCTACTTTAAAGAGTCCTCTCCTGCTGATGTTCAGGTGTATATCAGTATGTAGTGTCTCTACTTTAAAGAGTCCTCTCCTGCTGATGTTCAGGTGTATATCAGTATGTAGTGTCTCTACTTTAAAGAGTCCTCTCCTGCTGATGTTCAGGTGTATATCAGTATGTAGTGTCTCTACTTTAAAGAGTCCTCTCCTGCTGATGTTCAGGTGTATATCAGTATGTAGTGTCTCTACTTTAAAGAGTCCTCTCCTGCTGATGTTCAGGTGTATATCAGTATTTAGTGTCTCTACTTTAAAGAGTCCTCTCCTGCTGATGTTCAGGTGTATATCAGTATGTAGTGTCTCTACTTTAAAGAGTCCTCTCCTGCTGATGTTCAGGTGTATATCAGTATTTAGTGTCTCTACTTTAAAGAGTCCTCTCCTGCTGATGTTCAGGTGTATATCAGTATGTAGTGTCTCTACTTTAAAGAGTCCTCTCCTGCTGATGTTCAAGTGTATATCAGTTTGTAGTGTCTCTACTGTGACATGTCTCCATGCTTTAATGTTCAAAAAGCTCTCTATTTTTCTCATACCTTTTTTCACCCTCTGTCTGAAACCAGAGCCCAGTCTGCTCTGATTGGTTAGCTGGCCGGCTCTGTTGTGATTGGTCCGCTTAGAGATGTCCCCCTTAGCCTATCACGTGCAATGTGTTGGAGCTCTAGCCAATAGGAGCGCGAGTGTTCTGTAGTGATGTCACTGGAAGTTAACAAATGTCTGTTGCATGGTGATTGGCTGTTTAAAAAAAATACACATTCTAGATCCATATTTGAAAATAAACTCCACCATCATTATCTTTGATTGTTTACGTTCAGTGTGGATTTATTTTAAACTTCATCTGAAATGAAAGTCTGGGACCTCTGGCTCTTCTTCGTCTTTCTCAAACTGAGTTCCTCTCAGGGCGAGGACACAGGTGAGAGAAATGATCCGTTTACTAGTTATCTGTACAAATAATGCAATCTGTAATCTGAGTATCACAATGTAAAAGTAACCTGATTACTTTCTGTTACTTTTGGATGACCTCAATATCAAATCCAATGCAAATAAAGAAAAGAAAAAGAAAATATCAATAAGATGTTTTTTACTGAAGTGTTCAATGTCAGACAACAGAACAATTTGACCTTAGAAAAGAAGAAACCAAGATATTTAGGATCAGAAATGAACCCTATACACCAACAATGAAACTCATGAGCAGAAATCAAATCTGAGCTGACAGAAAATGCTCCGTTTTAGTTTAATACAAACAGTTACGCTCACACACACTATTTTATGAACATAGGTTCACCTGAATTAAAAACAGTTTGTAAAAAGTGAGATTTATGGTGCCGAAGTACCAACATACTGATACCGGTTAGTAAAAACCATGAATTAATGCTTTGACACCTGTGCAGACAAGACGGCAGGCGAACACCTTTTAAAATGCGTGTTTTCTGAATGGAGATTGGATCGATTAGGCTAAGCTAACGTTGTATATGCTCCGTCCACACTCACAACAACGGCCTACAGACATAAATAAACCAGCGACTGTACTCGCCATGACACAGACAGTCTGTGGTTTGTACTTGTTTAACTTTTGTCTAGTTTCTGAGCAGATATGAGGAGCTGTGAGCTCTGAGTGCTAACAGCTAACGGCTGATGTTTTGGTTTTCTGTTTCAACGTCAGTGGCGGCAGGCGGAGATCCTCACCGCTGATTGGCTACTGCGAGATTGCGTCATGCGAATTTGACACTCTAGTTGAGAAATTGAACTCGAGCGGTGAGGTACCCCTTCAATCGCGCCGCGGCATTCGCATCAACCGCTTCATGCGCGCCGTCGGAGAGAATTTGCGTCTGTCCGCGTCTCTGCATTGACTTTACATGTAATCGCGCCGCCCCCGCGTCCGGTGTGAACGCAGCATTAGGAGAAAAAACTGAGAATTTTGCAAAAGAAGTTAGAATTATGTAGTAGGTCAGGAATTTGAAATAAGGGAGATTTTGGGAGAAAAAGTGAGAATTTTGAAAGAAAAATGGGAATTTGAAAAGAAAAGAATGAACATTTTAAAAGTCAGATTTTTTCCAAAATGTGAGATTTTTGCAAAACAAAAGTGAGAATTATGTGAAAAGTCAGGAATAAGAAAAAATCTCACTTTTTTTGAAAAAAGTGAGATTTTTTGGGGAAAAATGAAATTAAAAAAAAATTGCCGGAAATTTGAATTGATGAACAAAATCGAAATTTGGTAAAAAAAAAAATGTTTACCATAAAAAAAAAGTCAGAATTATTTCCCAAAAGTGAGATCTTTGTAAAGAAAAAATGGAGAATTTTTAAAAAGATGTTAAAATAATGAAAAAGTCAGGAATCTAATCCTTTACAACAAACACTATATGATATTTTTAGGTTTTTACTGACACTGTAATCCTGGTCGGGTCACCTTTTTTCTATGATTACCCCTTGCATGTAATCCATGACTTCCCGAGCCTGTCCTGTTGCATCAGCACCCAGAAACGCTGATTCCTCCGTTTGTGATATTTCAGTTTCTATTCTGAGCAGATGAACATGACAGCTTCACGCCTCACACTTGCTAATTGAAAGCATGCTGCAGAGCGTTGTGAAGTGTCAGCTCCATTAACTGCATTTCACAGTTTACTGATGGTCATGCCTTCTTGTGACAGTTTACACAAGCCTCTGTCCTGTGGGCTAAACTGATCCTAGAGTTATTATATCACTTGTTTGTAATGTGTTATCAGTGGCAGAGGACATCGGCGTCCATCAGCTGCAGAGGTTAGTGGAGATGTTGACGTCTAGAGAGTGTGAGGATCTTCTGAGGACCCTGTCTCACCCCGAGGAGAACATCTTCCAGCACCTCGAACGCCTCGCACCGGAAAATAATCAACTAGATCTGAAACCTCGAGCCAAGAGAGACGCCTCTTCATCTCAGGGTCAGTACTCCTCATCTAAATAAGCATTATAGGAAGGATTGGAAAGAGCACTAGAATATTAACCATACTGTTACTGTAGAGACTGACTGGAGGAGATAGAGATTGACCAGGGGTGCAAGAAGTACCCAAATAAAGTAGGAAAACTACAGTGTAAAAATACCCAGTTATAAGTAAAAGTCCTGCATTCAAAATTGTGAGCAAAAGTACCAAAGTATGAGTATCAAAATATACTTTAAGAACCAAAAGTAAAAGTACTTATTATGCAAAATGGCACGTTTAAGTACCATACAGTATATTTAACATTATTATATTATAATTGTTGATGCATTAAAGTCTTCATCACATAGTAAAAGTGACCAAATGTGAAGTCTATCTAAATTAAATCTGTTGGAGGAGTTTGTGTTTAGTTACGGGGCCTGAAAATAGCCAAAATACATTAAAAAATAACACACACAATTCAAAATGGCTGACTTCCTGTTGGGTTGACGGTCTTGCTCTGAGCGACTTTTTTGGTCGTCTCCATTTGAAACAAATTCCCACCAAATGTCATATGTCTGGTACATTTGCAAATACAGGGGACTTGTTTTAGGCGGTGCTCTGGAACCATTTTGCCAACCACATGTGATCCATTACATTCAAACATTATATTTTCTACCAACAAACTCTGGCTTTTAAGCACGAAAAGGCCTTCATCAAGTTCATCATAACTTTAGGGATTTCAAAAGATCCTTGGCTCCAACTCCAGTCCAAGTTGCCAACAAGCAAGTTAAAAAAAACGTTGAGTAGAAATACTTCGTTACTGTACTTAAGTACATTTTTCCGGTATCAGTACTTTACTCCACTACTTATTTTTCTGACGACTTTTTCCTTTGACTTCTTACATTTTGAACACAAATACCTGTACTTTCTACTTCTTACATTTTGAACACAAATACCTGTACTTTCTACTTCTTACATGTTGAACACAAATACCTGTACTTTCTACTTCTTACATGTTGAACTCAAATACCTGTACTTTCTACTTCTTACATTTTGAACACAAATACCTGTACTTTCTACTTCTTACATTTTGAACACAAATACCTGTACTTTCTACTTCTTACATTTTGAACACAAATACCTGTACTTTCTACTTCTTACATTTTGAACACAAATACCTGTACTTTCTACTTCTTACATGTTGAACACAAATACCTGTACTTTCTACTTCTTACATTTTGAACACAAATACCTGTACTTTCTACTTCTTACATGTTGAACACAAATACCTGTACTTTCTACTTCTTACATGTTGAACTCAAATACCTGTACTTTCTACTTCTTACATTTTGAACACAAATACCTGTACTTTCTACTTCTTACATGTTGAACTCAAATACCTGTACTTTCTACTTCTTACATGTTGAACTCAAATACCTGTACTTTCTACTTCTTACATGTTGAACTCAAATACCTGTACTTTCTACTTCTTACATGTTGAACACAAATACCTGTACTTTCTACTTCTTACATGTTGAACCCAAATACCTGTACTTTCTACTTCTTACATGTTGAACACAAATACCTGTACTTTCTACTTCTTACATGTTGAACACAAATACCTGTACTTTCTACTTCTCTCATTTCCCAAACAGGCTGGTTCCTTTAGTTTGAATGTGTGTTTGGTGGCGTGCTCATTATTATTTAGAGTCATTGCGTGCCTATTGATTTGAACACGATCCGTGTATCCATCATTTCCTGGTCTTCTCTAAAGAAGAGGGACCAATGAAAACGTTGTCATGTTGCCGTTGTTCAGCATGGAAACATTCATTAGCTAACAATGACATTATTGTTCTATTAATATAAAGGGAGGTCAGGTACTCTTTAAAACAGCTGCTAGTTATGGGTACTTTTTACTGAAGTACATTTCAAAGCCCTCTTTACTTTTACTTGAGTAAAGAAGTTTAGTCAGTACTTCTACTTTCACCAGAGTATATTTAAACATGAGTATCTGTACTTCTACTTGAGTAAAGGATGTGTGTACTTCTCTCTCTGCTCCTCCTCTGCTGCAGGAGCTTCTTGCAGCAGTCTATCTGTCAGAAACCTTCCTGTCTGACGGCCAGATGCTTTGTGTTTCTCAGATCTGGAGGCAGAGTGCCGGGCGGCGCTGACTGACTGGCTGCTGAAGAACGGAGAGCAGACGTACCAAGACAGGCTGACTCGAGCCCTGCAGCACATTGGGAGGACAGACATCGCCATCGGTGAGAAGCAACCAAGATTCAAGGCTTGTATTGTCATGTGTACATAGCTACAGTGTAGATATGTCAATGAAAATCTGAGGTCACAGGCTCCTCCAACAGTGCAACACAATACAACAGATAAAATAGTACAAGTAAATTCAAATACAATAGAATATAATTAGTGTAAGGAGAGTCTATATACAAGTAATTGGAATATGATATATTAGATAAATAATTTGTAAGTTGCAAACTGTTGGAAGATCTCACTGGTCTCCGGCTTGATCTTCAATCTCAGGATCCATGTATTTGTGATCCTCTCCAGAATGGAAGTAGTCATCACATACAGAGCATCAACTAGTTCCTGAACAGTGTCCTTCACATGCTGATATCCAAGAGAGGGAGTTACACAGTCACAAGATGGAGGAATAGAAAGCAGTATTCAATGTTTACTTCAGATTAGCTCCACGTCAGAAATGATCATGCTTGTCATATGTCTATCTCCATAGAGGCTGAATCATCATGTTAATCACATAGCTATCATATGCCTCAAACAGTCCTGATGCTGTTCTAGGTAATCATACATCCTGTCATGTACACAGCTACAGTTGGGATACCTTTGTTATCATGTTACTCTGATATTGGAAGAGGACATTCAGGATTTTGACACGAAAACAGATGAATGTTATGGATGTTCTTCCAAAAGTTCAGGTGTTTAACAGAGACTCCTGTGGCTCTGGATCAATTATTTAACCCTCCGGTCATATTCGTTTTTATGTTACAGCAATAATATTCCTGGGTCAATCAAATTAAACTTTATTTGTATAGCCCAATATCACAAAACACGTTCATCTGAGTGGGCTTTACAGATTAAAAACAAACAAAAACATTGTATTTGATGTAATTACAGCAATATACAATGTGACCCAGTGCATGTTTAATTATCCAAAAATGGTCAGAAACCCCCAAATCCTGATTTTTATAGTTTGTACCTTTTATTACTATCAATGAAATCAATATTTAGTGCAATCGTGTTATTCACCTCTCACAGATCATGGTCCCATTAGAATAAGTCCCTCGTTTTTTCACAAAACATATACATTCAAACTTATTTGTCTAACCTTGATATAAAATACATTAGTTTTGCATAACATCAACTTTTAATACAATAATCCTGTGAGCAAATTAAAAGAGTTAGTAGAACAGTGTTTTCTCAGCACGTCCCTTGACAACAGGAAACTGGAACAAAGCCTAATTTGGGTACGTGTCAGGATACATTTTCAAATTTGGTTTATTTGTGGACCTCACCACTCGAACAACAGGCCGTAATTGCTTCAGTACTTTGAGATTTGTTTTAATTGGAGCCTCAAAAGTGGCACCTTTTTGCACACTTCATCTCAGGGCGAGACATTATCCTGTTTAGTAATTACTAGTTAGCTGCAATCAGTAATCTTAGTTTCACAATGTAAAAGTAATCTGATTACCTTCTGTTACTTTTGGATTAACTCAATATCAAATTCAATGCAAATAAATAAAAGAAAAAGGAAATTATACTTACTGAGGCGTATTAAGTCTTGAAATAAGTACAACAATCTGCCAATAGAACAAGTGAACATTTGTTTGGTAAGATTTCCTGAAATAAGAAGGGATATTTAGATAAATCAGATTTTGTAATTATCTGGGAGAACTCCTTTTGAACTATATTTGACCAGAATCAGGAAATGTCGTGTTACAATATACGCCGCAAATGCTCAAAAGTGTTTCTGTTTTCTGATGTTGGTGATTTTCCAAGTTTCCTCTGAGATACGTCTCAAAATAAGATTTTTTGACTGAACAAGATGATGCATTGTCTAGAAACAAGACCTGATATCTCACTGCAGTGTCACTTCTGAAGTTATTGAGAGGTGCAGGGAGGACGTATTTACCCGGAAGTAAGCTGCTGGTTCCCTCGACAAAAAAGCATCGGGATTTCTCCATAGGATTTTGGAAAATAGCTCGAAATAAGATCTGTGGAAAACTAACTGATAAATGCACGTTTTGTTCAGCCGGATAATCTCCACATGTCCACGCTACTTTTTTTAATCATAAATCTAATCTCCAGAAGCTAAATGCTAACGTAATGCTATGAAGGAACTACAGCCGAGTCCAGCAGCACGACTTCAACGTCACGCCAACTTCAGATCCATACTCAAACATACAGACTCTAAATGGTACGAGTTGAAGCGTTTCTTTGAACAGTTAGCAGGAGGCAGGGACTTGCTTTCAAGCAGAACAGGGCAAACTAACTTAGAGGAGTGTTTACGTGTTCGGCGTAATGACGTACAACGACCTCCACAACTTCTGTAGTCCTATTCAGCCACTTGGTAACAACCATCGTTTTTCAGACACGTCAACTCTTCAGAAATCACCAGTGGGGTCACTGCTGATGGATTTAATGTGGTAGAACAAAACGTGATCCGTCTCTTCAATGTGTCTCAACCACAGACCTTATTTCCAGATATTTTCCAAAACCCTATGGAGAGATCCCATTGGCTCTGAGACGAGGGAACAGGAAGTGGTGAAATGCTAACTCACTTCCTGGTTTTAGGACTCATTCCTGCACCACTCTATGTCTTATAGCAGGTGTAAAGACATATTCTGACGAGATATTAGACAAATATACTTGGCAAGATTTCGAGTTTTTGTAGTGTAGGATAAAAAATGATTGTATTTATAGGAAAAGCTGCCTTACACAGAAACACAGAAACACAGCATTTTCAAATTTGGTTTATTTTTGGCTCTCAAGACTTGAACAACAGGCCGTACAACATTGCTTCATTGCTTTGACATTTGTTTTAATTGGAGCCTCAAAAGTGGCACATTTTTGCACACTGCCAGTCTGTGGCATGTGTTGCAGACCAGCGTGCTCCACAGTGTGGCGTTTGGAGGGAAGGAGGTGTAAATGATCTGACAGAGGACTCAGTGGAGCTGACACCAAACGCAGAACAAACCATCTGCTCCTTTCATCAGCAGCTTTAGAGGAGCAAAAAGATGAGTTATAAGACATGTGGGTGGCTTTGATGAGAAAGAATGTAGATGCGGCAGTTATCATACACTTGATTGCAGTTCTGAAGAGATGTACTCATACGTAGAAACTTGAGTGTTTGATAGTGAACCGGCGCGTTGATCTCCTGCCAGAACTAATTATGTTCATGGTGAGAAAACAACCATTATGTTCAAGGATGAAATGCATACACGTTTAGTATTTGAAGCGACAGAGATGCTTAGCCCTGTGTTTGTGTGCTTTTTTTGTTTCCACAGAAGTTGGGAAGAACATCAACCAGGACAAATCCTTGAGCCTGAAGCGCTACGTCGAAGACTATCACAAATATGTCCAATCTCTAAACCCCCCAGAGAAGCAATCTGACACAAAGGGCCAGAAGAAGAAGGGCCGGAGGGTCAGAAAAAGAAAAGGTAATTCACCAACAGAGATGGCACAAGTACACACATCCTTTACTCAAGTAGAAGTACAGATACTCGTGTTTAAAAATACTCTGGTAAAAGTACTAAACTTAAAAGTAAAGAGGGCTTTGAAATGTACTTCAGTAAAAAGAGCAGCTGTTTTAAAGAGTACCTGACCTCCCTTTATATTAATAGAACAATAATGTCATTGTTAGCTAATGAATGTTTCCATGCTGAACAACGGCAACATGACAACGTTTTCATTGGTCCCTCTTCTTTAGAGAAGACCAGGAAATGATGGATACACGGATCGTGTTCAAATCAATAGGCACGCAATGACTCTAAATAATAATGATCACGCCACCAGACACACATTCAAACTAAAGGAACCAGCCTGTTTGGGAAATGTAAGAAGTAGAAAGTACAGGTATTTGGGTTCAACATGTAAGAAGTAGAAAGTACAGGTATTTGGGTTCAACATGTAAGAAGTAGAAAGTACAGGTATTTGGGTTCAACATGTAAGAAGTAGAAAGTACAGGTATTTGTGTTCAACATGTAAGAAGTAGAAAGTACAGGTATTTGGGTTCAAAATGTGAGAAGTAGAAAGTACAGGTATTTGGGTTCAAAATGTAAGAAGTAGAAAGTACAGGTATTTGTGTTCAACATGTAAGAAGTAGAAAGTACAGGTATTTGTGTTCAACATGTAAGAAGTAGAAAGTACAGGTATTTGTGTTCAACATGTAAGAAGTAGAAAGTTCAGGTATTTGTGTTCAACATGTAAGAAGTAGAAAGTACAGGTATTTGGGTTCAAAATGTGAGAAGTAGAAAGTACAGGTATTTGGGTTCAAAATGTAAGAAGTAGAAAGTACAGGTATTTGTGTTCAACATGTAAGAAGTAGAAAGTACAGGTATTTGGGTTCAACATGTAAGAAGTAGAAAGTACAGGTATTTGGGTTCAACATGTAAGAAGTAGAAAGTACAGGTATTTGTGTTCAACATGTAAGAAGTAGAAAGTACAGGTATTTGGGTTCAAAATGTGAGAAGTAGAAAGTACAGGTATTTGGGTTCAAAATGTAAGAAGTAGAAAGTACAGGTATTTGTGTTCAACATGTAAGAAGTAGAAAGTACAGGTATTTGTGTTCAACATGTAAGAAGTAGAAAGTACAGGTATTTGTGTTCAACATGTAAGAAGTAGAAAGTACAGGTATTTGTGTTCAACATGTAAGAAGTAGAAAGTACAGGTATTTGGGTTCAACATGTAAGAAGTAGAAAGTACAGGTATTTGGGTTCAACATGTAAGAAGTAGAAAGTACAGGTATTTGTGTTCAACATGTAAGAAGTAGAAAGTACAGGTATTTGGGTTCAAAATGTGAGAAGTAGAAAGTACAGGTATTTGGGTTCAAAATGTAAGAAGTAGAAAGTACAGGTATTTGTGTTCAACATGTAAGAAGTAGAAAGTACAGGTATTTGTGTTCAACATGTAAGAAGTAGAAAGTACAGGTATTTGTGTTCAACATGTAAGAAGTAGAAAGTACAGGTATTTGGGTTCAAAATGTAAGAAGTAGAAAGTACAGGTATTAGTGTTCAAAATGTAAGAAGTAGAAAGTACAGGTATTTGTGTTCAACATGTAAGAAGTAGAAAGTACAGGTATTTGTGTTCAACATGTAAGAAGTAGAAAGTACAGGTATTTGTGTTCAACATGTAAGAAGTAGAAAGTACAGGTATTTGTGTTCAAAATGTAAGAAGTCAAAGTAAAAAGCTGTCAGAAAAATAAGTATTGGAGTAAAGTACTGATACCAGAAAAATGTACTTAAGTACAGTAACGAAGTATTTGTACTCCACTAGTTCCCACCTCTGGTCATCCTACAACACGGTGATGGAGTCCTAACTCCTAACCTAAATATCTTGATGTCAAGATGAGGTTTTGGGGTTACCCACCTGGAGATAATGTCTGAATGACAAACAATATACTGTTCCTCTGAACCCTGAATCTATTACGTGTTTAGATGAGATGCCCGATTAGATTCGGTGGTGGCCGTGGGCATTATTCCAACTCATTACTTCCCAACACTCTCTCTATGCGGAGGAGTATTTCCCAGGACTCCTCAAAATTCAAAAAATGTAATTATCACCTGTCTATTTTAATTGTTTGTTCTCCTGGGTGCTTCATTGTCAAGTGAACACTCCCACAGTCCTCTGAGATGGCTATCGTGTATCTGACCCGTAGACTTTTAGGGGCCGATAGTTTAATGGCCTCTGGTTGGTTTTTTGGACACAAAACGGTGAAGTACAAATACTGAATAAACACATTTTTAGGCGACGGACATTTTGGATACACGGGCAATACTAGTTTGATGGAAAATGAATTGTCGGTTTAGCCTTTTAATGGGATTACATGGGAATCATTCACAGACAGAGTTACGGTGATGCCAACCATTGATTTGAGGACTACAGTTTTTGGTCGCAATCTTGATTTTAAGATGAGGGGGTTGGAGAAATGTGGAACCAAACACTGAACAAGACTTTTTAGGGTGACCAAAATGTTAAGAGTGACTTTCCTAAAGTGGAAACACAGTGAACGGGTAAAAGTTGTAGGACGAAAAACAACGAGGTAACAAACTGTCAATTATAAGGTAGACCCGCCCTAAAGCGACAACTGCTTTATTGTCTATTGTATTCTAAATGGGACCATAATTTACTAAATGAACATCCTTCTGTGTTAACGAAGACTTTAAACTAGAGACCATAAACTCATCAGGAAAATGATAACTGAGGTAATAAATCAAGAGAGAAGCAGGAACATTTTCTCTTAGACTTCTGACTTGTTGTGTTTGTGTTAGTGAGGGATCTGACATGGAGTGACCTGGATCTGATTGTGCAACGGGCCCCGGTCCCTCTGTACCAGAAGGGGCCTCTGGACTCGGCTCTGCCCCTCTTATATGGCCTCCTGCTGGGCTTCGGAGGCACCTTCCTCCTGGGTGTCACCATACTCCTCGTCATCCTACACATCTCACGTAAAACCACCAGGACCACCAGCAGCAAGATCAGAGTTGGACATTTAACGCCGAAAGATGCAGCCACGAGGAGGTCAGACGCTTCAAAATAGTGGCTTTAAAGAGTCCAACATTTGCTTCGTACAACTATAACACAGTGTATAAATAAAAGGCCTCTCTATTTGTTCGACTGATGTCTCTTTTATGGAAGATTAGAAATGCCAAAACCCATTTGTCCACGATGATCAGCAGAGCCAGCAACAGACAAACTGGGTATCGATTCCCCCACACACCACAACTAATTATGGCAAATACGACAAGTGTAATGCCGTCTCAGATAAAGTCATTATCCATGCTGTGTTTTGTAGGCTGGTATAAGCGTTATTGTGTTGCCAGTGGGGCGATTGCTAGTGGTGTGACAGATGCGCTGGAGCCTCACACCAAAGGTTGTTCCGGTGTTACTGTGATAGTGATGCCACTTTCCATTTCCCCTCCAAGTGACGGCAATGTGCCCGTCTGGCATCGAAGGAACAACTAATTATCCAGCCTGGCGCTCGCTTCCCCACAGGCAATCCAAAAGACTAATAACAATGACAATGCGAGAAGACAATGGGCCACTCTTGGTTGTGATGGCAGCTTCTGGCGGCTGACAGAAGCCAAATACAAAAACACAGAGCTATATTTTTTCCAAAGTGTGAAGCAGCTGAGGATTGTTAGCAAGCTGGAATAACGTGATATGTGAGATGCCGCAGTTGTGTCGATTCCAAAAACTGGCATGGCGAACAAAACAGAATGGAAATGTCCGTATAAGAAGATTCTAATTGACTCGTGCAAGCTTTAATTAAGGGAATCATTAGCTCACAGCGAGGCTATTTTCTCATACTCTGCTGAGCATGTGTCACAGTCGCAGGACGGAGAACACTCACAGTGCTTTCTAGATATTTCTCCCCAGTTTCTAACCCTACTTTCTTCTTCGTAATTGAACTAATTACTTCATTATACAATTCTGGCCTAATGTGCTTCAGGAGGCAGACAGCTTGGATTAACGGTGGCACTAAGCGGCAATTACAGACAATTAGTTCATAAATCAACTTTTAAACAAATTATAGTGCCAGGCAGAGCAGTGTGAGCCACGCTGCGAGAGGCCGAGAGGGCATCGTGGGTTTCAGTTTCCTCTTTATAGTGACATCCGTAATCTGACACTGTTTTTCTTAATATAAGTGCTTCTAATTAATGCTTACTTGATTTGACTTTGCACACGTTTAGCAAAAGCCATGTGCACCACGACGGGTGCAACAAGCAGTATGTATATAGTTAATATGCAGCGTGTGCATATACAACTCTTTATGAATTCCAAATTAAATACAGCTGTCCTCAGTACAAGACACAATTACGAGATTAAGGAATTACAGATAAATAGTCAAACAAAGGCAAAAAAAATATGAAGCCTGTGCGTACAGATCTTTATAAATTGCAAATAAACCACTACTTTCCTGAGTACAGCCATACAAACTTAAAGTGGACCTATCATGCTATATTTGAATAATATAGTGTAGGACCATACCTAAGCAGGGGTGCACATAACTGGTACGCAGGTACGCATGCACGGCAACAATCTGAAATGCGTACCATCACTTGTGTCACAAAGCCCATTTGCGTACCGACGTAAATGTGAAGCTTTTCCAGAAGGCGGTTAGTTCATCGGACTGATTTTGCATGATAGGTCCCCTTTACCCACCAAAGAGGACACAACTAAGAAATGACCGATAGATGATCAATCATAGACCAAAAGAAGAGCTATATGAACACTGCAGCAGGTGCAACAAGCATTACTTCTATAGATGGAAATACTGTATGCAGCATGTGCATACAACTACATTTAATTTGCGAACAAACCACAACTTTCCTAAATACAACCTTAAAATAATTAACCACCTAAGAGGACAACATGTACAGATGATCAACCAAAAAAAACCTATTATTTCTGTAGATTATTACATACAGCCTGTGCATTTGACGACTTTGAAAGAAGTGCAAATAAACAAATACTTTCTCAGAACACCCTTAAAATAATTAACACCTAAAGAGGATGAAACTACAGATACATAATCAACCGTAAACTGAGAAAGCTATGAACATTAAAGCAGGTGCAAAAAGCCTTACTTCTTTAGATGGGAATATGCAGCCTGCGTACAAATCTTTAAACTGTAAATTGTAACATATTCTTCAGTACAAGCCTTAAAATAATTGACCATATCATAAATGTGAAAGATAGTGATGACACTGTCTTTCAGACAGCATCCACCCTCTTGCACCCTCTCTTGCACTACTTTATCAGTTGTATTTGTTCTACGTCCTATATATATATATGTTGCACTGTTGGAGGAGCCTGTTACTTAAGTTATTCACACTGTAGCCAATGTGCAAATGACAATAGAACCTTGAAACTTGAACCCTCCTCCCCAGTGGTGCAGCAGAACTCTTCCCAACTAAACTTCCTCTGCTGGCTGTTAGCATCCCTCTGCTGCTGACTATGACAGGCTCACCTGCTGTGGGCTCACCTGTGTGTCTGTAAGCAGTGGAGAGGAAAGCACTGCATGCCTGAGTGAGTCCCAGAAACAACCTGCACCGCGGGGCCTGCACCGTGGGGCCTGCCCTGCATCATGGTTTGTGAAACTCCTTAGCATCGCCAGGATCCCACTGGGAGACCGCTCTTAGTGGAGAAGGAAAACTATAAGACCAGAGATGGCAAAAAGTACACACATCCTTTACTCAAGTAGAAGTACAGATACACGTGTTTAAAAATACTCTGGTAAAAGTAGAAGTACTGACTAAACTTCTTTACTCAAGTCAAAGTAAAGAGGGCTTTGAAATGTACTTCAGTAAAAAGTACCCATAACTAGCAGCTGTTTTAAAGAGTACCTGACCTCCCTTTATATTAATAGAACAATAATGTCATTGTTAGCTAATGAATGTTTCCATGCTGAACAACGGCAACATGACAACGTTTTCATTGGTCCCTCTTCTTTAGAGAAGACCAGGAAATGATGGATACACGGATCGTGTTCAAATCAATAGGCACGCAATGACTCTAAATAATAATGATCACGCCACCAAACACACATTCAAACTAAAGGAACCAGCCTGTTTGGAAAATGTAAGAAGTAGAAAGTACAGGTATTTGGGTTCAACATGTAAGAAGTAGAAAGTACAGGTATTTGTGTTCAAAATGTAAGAAGTAGAAAGTACAGGTATTTGTGTTCAACATGTAAGAAGTAGAAAGTACAGGTATTTGTGTTCAACATGTAAGAAGTAGAAAGTACAGGTATTTGTGTTCAAAATGTAAGAAGTAGAAAGTTCAGGTATTTGGGTTCAACATGTAAGAAGTAGAAAGTACAGGTATTTGGGTTCAAAATGTAAGAAGTAGAAAGTACAGGTATTTGTGTTCAAAATGTAAGAAGTAGAAAGTACAGGTATTTGTGTTCAACATGTAAGAAGTAGAAAGTACAGGTATTTGTGTTCAACATGTAAGAAGTAGAAAGTACAGGTATTTGTGTTCAACATGTAAGAAGTAGAAAGTACAGGTATTTGTGTTCAACATGTAAGAAGTAGAAAGTACAGGTATTTGTGTTCAAAATGTAAGAAGTAGAAAGTACAGGTATTTGTGTTCAAAATGTAAGAAGTAGAAAGTTCAGGTATTTGTGTTCAAAATGTAAGAAGTAAAAATAAAAAGTCATCAGAAAAATAAGTAGTGGAGTAAAGTACTGATACCAGACAAATGTACTTAAGTACATTAACAAAGTATTTCTTCCCACCTCTCCTCTGCATCAAACACCTCCAGCTGGCACACTGCATAACTCCAGAAACAGACAACACACAATTTCATGTTCCACAGAGCGGTCATGTGATCGTCTGCTGCCCGGGTCTTTACGATGCTTTTCATTTACTGGGCACAGAGAATGAGCAGCCGTTCATTCCAAGCCATTCTCATGCAAAGGGATGAAGCAATCACAGGCGTCATGGATGAATAGAGAGAGAATCTGACATGAAATTGACATTTAACAGGCGAGGCGAGGCCGACGTGTGAGGAGACGGTTTGCAGGCATTCTCATGTAAAAATGTCCTTTCTTTTATCCCGGTGGTTTCTTTATTTTTGGGTTATCAGCTGGTTTGTGGAGCAGCAGCTTATCAAACTGGATTGTCTGTGGAGGGGAACATCTGTCTCTCGTCATTGGCTCAGCTCAGCAAAAAGGAGTCAAGTGTTTGTCTGGATGAAGCTGTCGATGGCCGGGATGTGATGCGGCCTCCTGGGTGTGCTCAGTGTCACTGAAGGCTTTAACTTCTCCCTGCGTACATTTGCATCTTCATTCATCTGCAGGGCCGCCGAGGTGCCATCACTCTCCCTTTGCTCAATATATATGGATCACAGGGAACAAGATCACAACAGCAGCTCTTTTTACCGTCACACCGTCTTTCTTTTGCCTAATCGCCTCGGCTCCAGCTCTCACAACTTTGTCTTTCATGGTTTTCCCTGCAGGGAATCTGAGACTTCTTCAAAGTTTTTACTGCTGATCAGAGGAAAGGTGGTGCACACGTGAAGCCACAGTGCCATCCTGTGGCAAGGACAGGGCATTACAGGCAGTGAAGACAATAGGCAGATTTAGCAAACTATGACTTTACAGTGGAAGACATTACAGCGAACTAGCAGAGGGAGAAAGATAATAAGGGTACAAGCTAGATGAAATTAGAAATGTAAATACAATACGACAATATAACAAAAAAGTCACATGCCAGCAACAATTGACCACTTGTTCACAGCTCCTTAAAGGTGGGGTAGGTAAGTTCGAGAAACGGGCTCGAGATACACTTTTTGTTATATTCCATGGAATGCTCTTAACATCCCGATAGCAATGAATATCTGAAGTGCTTTGATAAAAAATCCATAAAAAATATCATCTGTGGAAGCTGTAATACTGTAAAAAGTACGACCAATCATCTGAGCCGGCCCGGCTAAAATAACTGGATGGCCTACCTGCCTGTCAGCCTTCCATCTGTGCACAAACTTATCTCGTGCCCCTATTGGTCATGTGTGCGTTCGTGTGTGTTGGAGGAG